CTTTCTCCTCACCGGGCCTGTGCTGTGTTCTGTAACTCTATACGCATGTAGTCAAAACAAATGGTGACAACAATTTGACACCTGCAAATTGGCTATTAATATACTCTTCATTCTTACCCTGATCAGTGGTTTGGCCTCCAGCAAAAAGTAGTGAAACAAGTCAAACACAACATTAGCCAAATTCCTCCATGGATACGTTATTTTGGCCACACCAAAATAAGCGCATTCACCGAAAAAATAATGTCAAAAAATGACATTAAGAGATAAACACGCCACCGAATGTGATCACAAATAAGACATAATAATCATGCGTGAAATGTTTGGCAATTAGTCAGTGAGTCAGTTATCAACTTAAAAATGGAAAATGAGTTTTTTTTGCAGCTGTCATGACATGTAACATGACCGTGTGCAACCCTTTCAACGTCAGACAGAGAAGAGTATATTCTCCATTTTTCACATTTGCGCATAGTCTATTTCCAAAGTCGTTGTAGTTTAAGCAACAACAGCCGCATCTGTTCCCTTTTAAAATAGTCTCTCTGAGTGTGTCTCAGTCATTAAGTCGTCATCCTGTGTTCTACCTCAGGGACGTTTCTAAAGCCTCCTGTGCGTCGTTTTATTTTTATTGCTTTGCAGATAACAATTAATAGCAACATGTTGTTAATAGCTTTTTTTTTTAATCATCACAGAGAATAGAAATTCCCTAGAAGTGACAAGAAAGCATTTCTGTAGAGTGTTTCTTTACAAAGGAATATTTAGTTACCGTCATTGAGCGTACCTGAATATAAGACGCACCCACTAAATTTAAAAAGAAAGAAATAATTGTACATATATAGGCCACATTTCTCTATGAGCCGCAGGTGTCCACGTTGTAACATGGGATATTTACAAAAAAAAAAAAAATTCACTTTCAATAAAATTAATGTTTTTTTCCGAACAGTGCCTCTTTCCTGCTTTGGCACCCCGACCGTAGTTGGAATGCACAGGGGAGACTTAGTGATCTGCTCCAGGCTAATGTTAGCTTAAGCTAACATACGACAGACAGACGTACGGTACTAGTATAACACACAGTTAGCCTACCAAAGAAGTAATTGATCGCTAGCGGTATGAACTCCGTTAGCCCGTAAAAACGCATCCTTGTTTAAGCCACAGGGTTCAAAGCGTGTGTGAAAAAAGTAGCGACTCATAGACTGGAAATGACGGTAATATTTAAACAATAGCATAAAAGTGATTTTATATTGAACATTGACTGTATGTTAGAAACGAGCTTAACTTCACTTCTTTACTGTTTTAAAAGTAAATGTACTGCTTCCGTTCCTTCCACCGTTGAGGCTGTATCTTTCAAACCTTTGAGATGAAACGCGGCGGATAATGTAAATTTTTTACATTTGAAATTGGTTGTTGGAGAAAACAAGCAGTTTTTAATACTCAACTGCTGCAATGGTTCTCAAACTATGGCAAATGTGCCTGTAGTGCTACTCAGAGGAATCCTTGTTTTTTTGTTGTTGTTGTAATGTTAGCTAAACCACTGCAACCATGGCTTTAAACTCTAAACAAAAAGTGAAGTACGAATCAGAAAACAATATCAATGCTACAGGTTTGTAGCATGTTTGCATTACTGAATAAAATAAACTGAATTTAGTTGTCGTTGTTATGTGTTATCCCGGGTTTGAGTTTATAATTTTTTCATTCTCGTTTTGATAGGAAGGGCTTTTATTTTTAAAGGTTCCCAGTGGTTACGCAGATAGCTGGAGATCAAAGACAGTAAAAAGAATCCATAAAATAATTATTTATGGTATTAGCCGAGGAAACACAAGGTTTATATTTTTAACGTCATCATTAAGATGTTACTTGTGCTTAGGTTACATCTGTATTCTGCTAATTAACATTTAACGACGGTGAAATAAGTTCCAACACCTTACGTAAATGATCGTTTTTAATTATCGCAATTGATGTGTTTTTGTGTTAGTACTTCATTTTAGGATTTTTCACTTTCCTTCCTTATTTAAACTCTTTTCCCCCCTGAGATTCTTTTATTTTCAAGAGCTATTTTTGTTTTGTTTTTGTTGAAAGCAGGGAAATCAAAGTTGTTGTTTTTTTCTTTTTTGGGGGGATGGAAACTTTTATAGTTAAGTCTACTGTTTATGGTTCAAATATACATTTTCTCTCTCTTGTCTCTTTTCTATTCTATTATACTTAAATTTGAAATAAAATCAGATTGAAATTATTATTTAAATTTACTCTGAAATTTTAGATACCAGTTGTTCTTGTATAGTGTATAAATCCATCATGTAATTTTACTTATAAAAAGTAAATGTAAATATTTAAACATACACAAGCCTACTACTTTTAACATACTGCAGACGCGGTCGGCCTTCAGTCGGTGAAATAGTGACGCAACGGTCAGAACCGCACTTTTAAATCACTATTACCGCAGCAGTTCCAAGAACATATCTCACCAATTATCGTAAACACTTGATTTCAGTTATTGCTGCCAAAGGTGGCACAACCCGTTATTAGGTTCAGGGGGCAATTACTTTTTCACAGAGGGCCAGACAAGTTTGTAATTTTTTCTCCCTTGGTAAATAAAATCATCATTTAGAAACTGCATTTTCTATTTCCTTGGGTTGTCTCTGTGTCATACTAAAATTGGTTTGATGATCTGAAACCATGCCGTGCACAACGCATACTCACAATATCAATGCTCCTCATCCATGCCTTTCTGTTTGTCCTGCAGACTGTTTTTATACTGTTTCTATGAAATATACACATTGAACTCAGAGGAGAAGCTTCTGGAATAACACTATTTATAAAGTTAACCCAGTGCTGTAATCAAGTGAGAATCTTGCCTTTTGCATAGAGATATGTACCTACTGCAAATATAACACTTTGGGGTACTTGAGTCACTATTTAATTTTATTGTTTCTAGCAAAAAATAATATTTTGTATTTTTTTAAGAATATAATTATTTTCTGTCATGAAAAGAAAAGAGAAAAGAAATCACTAACATGAGACATTGTAAATACATGGTTAATTGCGCACAAGACGATTTAAATCTTCTCTGACCAAAAAAAAATATTTTAAAACTTTAGTACCATACAGTTTTGTAATTAAAAGTGTACAAAGTTGTGTAAATATACAGTTTTATGCAAGTAACTCGTGTTGTCGTGTTTCTTTCCAATTTAGCATGAATGTGTTTATTTGCAATTTAATGTTTGTTAAAAGAATGTCCTGGTTAGCTTACTTTGGAAAAACGTTACGATATTCACACAGTTGCACGAGCACAGGTTAAACACCAAAGAGATTCTCACTCTTGTCTGGTCTGCCTACGCGTGAGGTGGTTAGTATTACTTTTCAGGTACTTTATAATATCCATCGAAATGTTTTTATTTTTTGTCGTGTTTTACGAGCGGTCTTAACCTTGTCGGTATATATTCAAACCGGGGTTCATAGCGCGAAAATGCTTCGATGACTCGAACAGTTAACTAGGACACAAAGGTGAACAGTGTCGAGTTGTTTTTCCTCTATATGCACTTGAAAATTATAGATAACCGAAAGTTGCGTTTTAACTTGTTTGTCAAAGCCACCAAACGTCAACATCCTCCACTTGAAGTCAGATGTGGAAGCTGAATGCAAGCCTTTTCAAAATAAAACGTTGTTTTTAAAAAAGTTATTTTGTATGACGTTTATCCTTTTGTTTAAAAGTCTCTCTCATATATATATATATATATATATATACATACATATATACGTATATATGTATATATATACATATATGTGTATATATATAGTGAATTTGATCAAATTAAAAATGAAATTTTATATATTTATGACTTATCATTATTTCAAATACATGTATTGCAAACTTTCTTACTGAAATACGTCGTGTACTTTTGTGTTATTTGTGAGTCACGTCCATCATTAAAGCCTACTTTAGTTTTCAGGGCAACGTTTCCCCTGAGGAGAAGCGTTTTCCGTTCATTTAAATGCTTTAAAGGGCAGGGTAATGACAGGGAAAATGAAAGTGACAAGACATCACCGCCAGTTTTTCGAAATGGTCCATGCTTTATGAAAGGCAGTTAAATTACACCAATCATCTCTGTCTAATTTAAAGGCACTTACCAAAGTACTCGGAGGATCTGATGCTTGTTATTGTAAGCCAGTAATTCATGTCCATCTAAGCCAGGCGTGGGCAAACCTGTTGACTCGCGGGCCACAATTGAACAGATTCCAAATTGAAACACATGCCTCTCGACCTGCACTTCACTCCACTTTTCCATGGAACTGTCCATTTCCAACCAAGGAGCTACAATTTTATAACTTTATATCTTTAATTCATTACTCCATATGTGTCAAACTCAAGGCCTGTGGGCCAAATGTGGCCCGTCCAGTCATGGAGTTTAACTTGCTATATATTTTTTTCCATCACACATAGCAATTTACAAAACTTGTAACTTGAATAAATAACAATCAAATGCAGAAATCTGTATTATTACATTATGGAGTAGTTAAACTGTACGGTCTTCCATTTTCAACCGGCCCTTCAACGGGAACCGTATTGTTGAAAATAGCTCTTCTTGGGCTATGCTATGCTAAACCTGCTATGGTATCTTGCTAGTTTTGTGAGGGTTCGGCTGCAAAACGCAACATCCTTAGAGTAGCATTATTTCCATCCGCCATTTCTCGGGCTAGTTTTGTGAGGGTTCGGCTGCAAACACAGCTTTCTATGCTTTCCTCATTGCATGACGTTTCATGATGCCGTGGTTCATTTCTCGTGGAATTCTTTAACACCGTGCTCTCAAGTTAAAGTGTCATTATTTGTGCTATGCAGTAAAAAAAAAAAAAAAAAAAAAATCTCCTTCTGTTAGTGTAATTTCTGTAGTTCTAGTTATTTTTTTTATGGTCTGTCCAATGTCCCTTTTTTTTTTTTTTTTTTTTTTGCACTTTTTTCTAACATGTCCATCAGTATAAGGATGATTAAATGTCTCGTTTGTGTCTTACAGGAAAGCGTGTCCTCCTACAGCACATCGATAAGAAGCGCTCTTCAATATGAATGCAGGTATGAAAACAAAAAAAATTATTCAGTTTCTTCTGCGTTAGTTACTGTTTAACAAAGTGGGAGTTTTTTTTTTGGGGGGGTGTTTTTACATTTGATACTTTGAAATAAAAAAATGTTGACGTTCAGGTCGCCTCTCTATTTTAAAAGCTGCTATGTGTGCTTCTTCTGCACTGCCACAGGCATGAGTGTGTAACCCTAACCCTGACCCTCTTTCACCACTCTGGTGTTGGTCCATTTTGGGCCCGGGTTATTGTCACTTAAAGCATCGTTCGAGTATAGCCGGGCTGTTTGCTTTTAACTACGGTGACGCGCTGGCCCCAAATACATTTCCAAAGCTCGGTCTTGAGTTTGGCACTCATCCTGAGCTGATGTGTGTATTTCAGCCGATGATGAATCAATGATGACTAATCTGCCTCAGAGCCTTTTCCCACACGCCACGCGCCGTTAGCCCGAGTGCCAGCAGCAGTTTAACTTGTGTGTTTATCGGCATTCACGATAACGGTACAACTGGTTGTAAGGAAAATTCGAGTTTATTGAAACTCCAGTCCATTCGGGCTCCTATTGGACGATTCAGCTGCCGGTAAAGTGCAGTGTCCAATCGTGTTCCTCTTGTTTTAAAGATGGACATATTTGCGCCAAGATGGTCCTAAAAACTGTCCTAAAGTTGAACAGAGGGACTGGGTCAGGAGCAGATGGATGGAGCGTTAGTGTGAACTAAGATAAATGACGTGTAAAAGTCATGCATAAAACGATTTTAGCATTTTTCTACACCATCTATTGGTGAAACGTGGGTATTGCAGGGACAAGGCAGAGGTATAACGATCATATAAATAAATTATATAATTTGGAAACATTTGGCGGGCCGGATTAAAAAGCTGAACGGGCCGCATACGGCCCCCCGGGCCTTAGTTTGCCCATGCCTGCTCTAGCTTAACTTAAAGGACTTCTTAATAGTAGAAGACCTGAAGACAGAGACTGAAATCGCAGACTCTGAGATAAGAGACTAGCGCAGGATTGGGGTCTATATTCACGACTTTGCCGCATAAAACATTCCTGAGCACCAGATTTCTTTGTCATAAACGTGGAAAAACAATTATACGTTTGATTCGAAAGCAGTCGTAGTAATTGGTGGTTTCGACTTCAAGTGGGTTGTGCCGGTGTACCAACCTGCTTATGTGCACGCGTTTCACATGGGAACAGCTGTCTATAGAATGTAGTGCCCAATTACGTGGAAGGACCTTTAATCCCCTTTATTGTCCTTCAGTCGACTGGTGAAGATGTGATAATTGCTCCATGATGAAGTTCATTTTGTAGGTGATTACAAGTTACTTCTTTCAGTAGACATTTATTTACCTTAAATAAAAATAAAAAAAAATTTTGTATTTTTTTAAGTAAATTTAATTTTAAAAATTAAATGTAATTAAATTGAATTTAAAAATTAAATTTAAATAAAATTTAATTTTATTAAAAAAATTTAATTTAATTTAAGTAAATTTAAATTCAATTATTTAAATAAATTTATTACCTTCTGCCTCAGAATTTCTTTTCATACAAGGACCAACATGTTAATCCTAAATATATTCTTTTTCAATCCACTCTCTTTTTTTAAATGCATGTGCTTTACTTGTTCGGCTCGTGCCTCACGACTGGGCCGGCTTGTGTGTTTGTGTTTGTGCATGTGCATGTGCTGCTGCTGCTGCTTCTACTGGTGCTGCTGCTGCTGTTGCTGCTGCTGTTGCTATTCCAACCTGCCTGGCTGTGATTACTCAGATAGTGGAGGATGTACCACCAAAAGTGTGGCCCTGTCAATCACACTGTGTCCTATGAAGAGAGTCCAGAGCTCACCCAATCTGGCCACAGGTACTAACACCCACAAACACACAAAAAAAGTAAAAAAAAAAAAAAAAAGTACCGTAATCTTTGGACTATTGAGCGCACCTGAATAAAAGCTTCACCCACTAAATTTAAAAAGAAGAAAATGATTGTACATATACAGCATAAGCCGTGTGTTCATGTTGTAACATGGGATATTTATATATTTATTTTTTTTTTTTTTCAATTTTAATTAAATAAATGCTTTTTTCCAAACAGTGTCCTGTAACATGGCTAGTTATACGTTAGCTCTTTCCTACTTCGGCGCTCCAGGGCTGAAGCTAACATTAGCTCCGGGGCTAACTCTCTTCACTTTGTGCTGGTCCGCAGCAGAGGTAAACAGAAATAGTGAAGTTGGGGTCTTTATTATCAGCCACACCGACCACAACAGAACATAAACAGAGTTTTAACAGCTCCTGTATAACCAACTCACGCTACAACGCCCGCTACCGTTCTCTCTCGCGGGCGTTCCACGCACATATACATATACAGACAGACATACGCTACTAGTATAACACACAGTAGCCTACCAGAAATGTCTGATCTTGAGCTAGCGGTATGAACTACGTTAGCCCGTAAAAATCCATAAATTAGCCGCATCATTGTTTAAGCCGCAAGGGTTCGAAGCGTGTAAAAAAAAAAAAAAAAGTAGCGCTTTATAAACCGGAAATTACGGTATTTTAACCATGGACAGATGGTACAGTATATGAGGCTGCAGATTGCACCTATGTCCATGCAGTACATAACTGTTTGTTGAAGAGTTTTGAACTAACTAACTCAGTCCTATCACATCCAATCATGTTGTTGTGTTGAGCTCTAATCCGCGTTCAGCTCTCTTATGTCACGTTTTCACATTCTTTCCCTTCCTTCGACTTTCCCTGATCCTTTCCCCATTCTTGCCTGGAGCTTTTTCTTCTCATTTCCTGTCACCATTGATTTTTTTTTTTTTTTTTTTTTGTAATGACACATCAAAAGATGTCCCAGCCTCAGGGACCTGATGACATTTCCTTAGATAAGCTGGTTTGCTGATGGAGAAGACAAGCGCTGCCTTCTGATGTTTAGCTCCAATTGATAATAAACACACTCCAATATGAGGTATAGTCGAATGACAGATAGCAGATATATTAGAAAATATGTTGGCCAGTTGTACAGACAGGTTTATTATTTCTGTGCAGAGTTCAGGGTTTCCTTAAGTTGGTTGTTTGCTAAGATGCTTATCAGCGACCGCTTCAAGAGTCACACCCATGTCGCCATTCTGACGACCAGCTTCCTTTTTCAAACAATGGTGACATTCTTTAAATAATAGCAGTTTCGGGGGGCGCATGGCGACTTCCTATCAAAACACCCATTAGAGAACGACTAAAAAGATCCTATAATGTCTTTACTGTTCTGTTATGACCTACAACCTCCTGCATTGGAAAAACTTAAACGATTAACCACGTGACCTCTTAAATAGTGTTGTTTTTCTACTGTTGATTAGCATGGAAAACAAATTCCGTTTTCTGACCTGAGAAGCTCTTAAATAGTGTTGTTTTTCTACTGTGAGACACAGGATGCCTTAAGAACTGTTTCTCTGTGTATTAACAATAATTCTTATAAAATTAATTTAAAAAAAAAATTGCATCACTTTAAAAAAAACAATTGAATGTCTTTCTTAGAATTTTTTATTTTTTCTCCTTTTTGTATCTTTTCGTGTTTGTCCTCGTCGACCCGTCTGCGTTTGTGACATTGTACGAAACCGATGTGGTTTATTTCCGGTTGTAACTTTAAGGCTGTATAGCTGTAACTTTTCCATATTGTACGTTTCTGCAATTGATTATTTTTTGTATTAAATGTACAAATATTGTAAATTGCTCTGTGTAATAAAAAAAATGTAAATGTAAAGTTAAGAAACTTAGCAATATGGACCACACAAAATGACTTGGCGGACCGCATTTGACCCGCTGGCCTTGAGTTTGACACATGTTCTATAGTAATGCATGATACCCAACCATTTAAACGTATTCTGTCTGTGTTCCTCAGGGAGTGACTCTCATTCGTCAGACCTGGGTGAGTCGGTGTTTCCGATTAATTGCGATTAATACAGAAGTCAGATATGTCTAATGAGTCAATGCAACCCTCCCCGGGAGACCAAGAAAACCTTATCACTCAAGTCAGATTTGTTGTCGTTTGTGGTCAGATTCTTGGCGCTCACGTAGCGTAACCGACGGTCTGAAGAACGGAGATGCCAGCAGCTCTTCTCTCGCTGCCAAGGGCTTCAGAAGCGTCAGACCCAACTTACAGGACAAGAAGTCACCCACACAGGTAACATGTATCGCCCACTACAATCACACATTTCCCTTACGTTCGCTCCTGTCTATGGTGGCCCTCTCAGACAGTAGCTAAATTGATATTTTTACCAATTATTGTATAATGGAACAACCAATCCAGGGTTTATTTATCCCAGTACTTCTCAAATAGTGAGGGCGGGGCACACTGGACATGAGTCTTCCACTGCTGTGATGCTTGAATGATAACAAGCCTCCAGCCACTAGGTGGCAGCAACTCATACAGTGGTTTGTACAGATAAAAAAATATACGTTATCAGGTTTAATAGTATTTCAATTCACGGGGGGTGTGGGTTGGAGGGGGTCGTGAAGACATTATTGTCCCCCAACGGGGGGTGGGGGGGGGCACGACAGGAAATAACCACTGATTTAGCCCAACATTAGCATGAACACACTCAAAGTGCAAGTCTCGGATCCACCAACGTAAACAGTGATGCAGATAAATAGGCAACTGGACAAGAGTGAAATGGTGTCTTCATTGGGACGATGACATCATCACCTCATCCTACACCAGGTGAAGGTTACCCAATCCATCTCAAGAGACTTGATTGTTGGGTCAAAAAACATGGGCCTGTGATCTCAAGATCTAGTCGTTTAACTTCCTCCAGTCAACAGTCACTTCTATCTTGTCATAAAGTTTTGGGTTGATTTAGAACCTCACTTATCCAACCTGTAGTGTTCTAGAAAGGATTAGATTGTTTGGTTGTTTTTTTAGAAAGTCAATTAATTAGAAAAGGATTAGATTGTTTGGTTGTTTTTTTTTTAAACAGGAATTAGAAAGTCACACAAAAGATGACCCCCATTGACAGCATCAGAATTTCAAACATTTACCGTAATGTTTAGGTGTTGACATTTTTTATACTGAACCACTCAACAAAGCATCATGGTTGTAAATTATTTACACTTATTCTCCCCCCCAGACATTGACTAATGGTTCTTTTGTTATTGTTTAAACTCTTGCCGGCTGTTACTACTAATTGCTAAACAAGGATATTGATCCCATGCCATCACCACCCCCCAGGAGAGAGAGTTTCCATTTCTCACCACCTGGCACTAATCCACCAGACTACAGCGCCGCCATCGCTCTGGCTAACGATTCCAGCTCAGGAATCCTCACATTAACTCGGAGAGAGAAAGCAGTTTTAAAAGAGACCTACACCGTTAACAGCATGTCTTCTTACAGCTGCTCGGAGAGTGGCGCAAAACCGGCGGAGCAGACGCGACTGCACGCGCTCCATAACGACGCTAACAATCGTAGCACGTCCTCCACATCTAACAAACAGGTCCAGGAGCGTAAGGTGTCCTCGGTTAAAATAACCCCACTCACCATTCCCGACCCTCCTGATCACATCAACTCCTACAAAGACCCCCGAACTAAGCTCCAGACCACACCTTCACTTCCTCCTCCTCCTCCTCCTACACCACCACAAAGGGGCGCCACTCTCTCTCAGCCCCGCACACAGACAGCCTCACTCTCTGTCCACTTGGGCACCAGAAATCAGAAAAACCCACAGCCTCGACTCCAACCAAATCCAGAAGGGGAAGTGAAGCTCCCAGGTGACACCCGTTCTCCCAACTCCGGATCGGCAGACTGTTGGTACATAAGTGATGCCATACTGCAGCTCTGTACATTTAAATGTCACTGAAAGACAGTCAGTCATTTCTTACTAGCGCATTCATCTAGTTCAGAAAAGTAGCATAAAAAAAACAAACACTTGAGTTTTCCTGATCACGCGTCAAAACACTTCAGGGTCGGAGCCAGTCGTCGTGTCGCACATCCTTCACTGCTCGCCCTTTAATTTAAAAGATATGTCACCGATGACATGAAGCCAACAAATCTAACGGTGACTCTGTATTTAGCATATGATAACGTGTTTATCTAGTAGCCAAGTCTGCATTGATTGATTGTACTTGTGTTACTGGCATTATACATTGGTGTGCAAAAGTTTTAGGCAGCGCTAAACTGCATTATAATATTATTATTTATATGGATTATAATTTTTTTTTTTTTTTTTTAAAGTGAAAATATTGAAGATGAGACAAATGTAAATTAAATCTGAATTAGCTGTGATCATCACTTTTGCCCGTCATGTACACTCATAAACGTTCGTGTCTATGTTCCAGATCTGGTCATACTGACTCTTAACAGTGTTCCTTCTATTTTTTGATTTTAAATGGAAATTTTGCCTTGACGTTTCTTTTCTTCTGATACATTTAGTTCCTTGACAGAGAACTACTAGCTAGAGAACTTGCTGATGAAATACTGTGTGTCTCTTTTGCTGTACTGAAACTCGCTGCGTGGTCCAGGACCCGTGACACCGTGTTCTATAAAAACCTCACCTTGATAGTACGGTTTTGGTTTCTTTTTCTATTCAGTTTTAGGCTTTCGATACGGTAGAGCTCTTCGTTTGAGTCGTTTTCTGTTTTAACAGCCAAACAAAAATGATTTTTGTATTTATTAGATCTATTGATTGCTATTGTTATTCATGTACTCGATACATGTGTGCATAAGAGAATCAGCGCTCACGCGTTGGCGAAGGAAAGTCACAGCAAACTCATTGGATTTGTCTCTTTCAAAAAGTCATATTTTCATAATTTTTATGTTATTGCCTAAAATGTTTGCACAGCTCTGTCTCCTACGGGTTGAAGTAACACATCGCCTTCACTTCACAGCATTTATCAGGTTTGAGAAGTTGACGCTGCCTCACAGCCTCACGGGCGTTTTTTTTTTTGTAACCTTCTGTTCGTGTTGCATTTTCACTTCCAGTGTGGCTAATGAGTGATGTCACTAAGCGCTCTTCTCCTCTCCTTTCCCCCCCCCCCGCCGCCGCCAACTGCCACTTCCTCCGACAACCAGGGGCCTGCGTCGCCCAACCTCACAGCTCAGCACTTCCCCTACCACAGCCACAGCTCAGAGTCACTCGACTACCTGTCGGGCCTAATGCCCAAGGCCCTGTCGCCCACTCCTTACGTTCCTAGCGGAGGTCATAACACAGCCGGCACGGCCTCTGCAAGCATGAGCGGCCGCGTCTCTCCCTCAGTGTCACCCGTGACGGTGTCAGCTCTAAGCCACTACTCCTCCTCCTCCACGACGGGGCTGATGGACGAGCTGCAGATCTGTAGTCTGGACTCACCCGGCTGCTCACCCACGCCGTCGCCCACCCTCAGCTATGCGTCTGTGTACACATCCAACGCTGGCCCCGATGAGGCGCTAACACCCTTTGTGGGCTCCACTGCCTCAGCTGCCACTTTGACTAACGTAATTATCCCACCGAGTCAGTGTTGTAATACACACCCAAAACAAACAAACTGGTTTCTTCTCTTTTTCACATCGTAATTTTGGACCAATATTGTGGACCCGCCCACCCTTTTTTACACCTTCTACTAACCTCCCACAGTAACTTACCTGTCAGCTACCAAAACTAAATTGACTTGACTTGTGTTTCTTCATGTTAGTTAGTATTTTTTTTCTTCAATTATTTTTCTTTTATTTCTTTCAAGGCACAGCGGTCGCTTAGAGAAATTCTGAAATTGTCAGCTGCTTTCTTTTATTTCTTTCAAGGCACAGCGGTTGCTTAGAGAAATTTTGAAATTGTCAGCTGATTGTCAGCTGCTTCACTCTGTGAAGGGCTTTATTGATGAAATTGAATGATCCTATAAAGCGTTTACGCCGTAAATATTGACGCCTGGGCAATAGTTGTATACTACACCGTTAGCGTAACATTATTGTGCAATATAAAAAAAAATAGTACGCTCTATAACCCTCTTAAATTACTAGAATTCTAAGTGATTCTGCACAGCTCAAATGTTGTGAATGTTACAGCATCATTTGTGGAGTTTTTTTTTTTAGTTTTTTTTTTTTTTACATTCTTCTCCAAAAAATAGACACCTGCATGGATATGAGCAATATTTCTCCGTGCATACTGTGTCCTGATCGCTTCTCTAAACTAACCGAGGCTGAATCTTTGCAAGCGCAGTTTTAAAGTATTCCGTGAAAATACGATTTTTCTAAGCAGAGATCGGCATACAGTCTAAAAACAGAATACTTTACATATAAATGGCTCTAAAAAAAGCCTCGGTTTGAGTCAACGTGACGGTCCTGTAATTGCAGTAACATCGATCTGTGTCTTAGCTTTTTACTGCATTTCTAAACCCGTGTGAAAGAGCAACGTATTACGTCACGATAAGTTATACAAATTTTAAAAAAATATCCAGGTGCTGAACAAAAAATCTTTTTTTTTTTTTTTTTTTTTTTTGTCAGATGACATCCTGTCGTCCCCGTGTCTTGTTAAATTGAATCTCTTCATAACAACACTCCTGCCTGTGTCTTGTGTGTGTGTGTCACACAACTAATACGTGGTGAAACGAATCATAAACCCTGGAAGTAGTTGTTCGTGTTTCTTCGTTCTGTTTTAGAGACAAACGATTCAGTAGAAGTGTCTCCTTCCTCTAACTGTTCTCACACTGTTCCGTCACTACCGAGGCATTCCTTTTCTAAGTATTACATCAGACCCACTGTCTGTTTTTATTGTCCTCTGCAACACTACAGGATGACTAGTTTTGTGTTCTTTGTTTTTTTTGTTTTTTTACAGCACTTTGTTACCTCTGTGTATAGTAGAAACTGGAGAAGATCACTTTTTTTGTGGGTTACTCACAGGGGCAGGTCCTCTCCCACGCCATGAATGGAAATGCCAGCCATCAGCAGAGACCCCTCTCTCCCCCGTCCTATCCTCCTCCCCCTGTGTCCCTCCACACTGGCCTGCAGAGACAGAGCAGAAGTTCGGGTGAGTCATGGTTTTCGTAAATATCCTTCTGTCATTTCTTTGCCCTGGAACAAAACTGTATAGCAAAAAATACACAACAAATTACCGTATTTTCTGGACTATAAGTCGCACCTTTTTTCATCCTTTGGCTGGGTTTACGACATATTCACTTGACGTTTTTTTCATCCTTTGGCTGGATTTACGACACATTCAGTCGGCGTTTATATTAAAATATATAATTTATATAGTTTGTTGCTAGAGGGCACTCTAGGCTTGTGTATCAGTATCTGCTGCTCCTGTACCACTAAACATTTACATGTTCGTTATTTTCACACTGACAGCAGCTAGAGGGCACTCTAGCTGGCCAGCTGGCTACTCCGGATCGACTTTTATATATTTTTTTTTTCTTCTTCATTATGCATTTTTTCTTATACTCCCGAGCGACTTATAGTCCGGAAAATGCGGTAAACATTATTCTGAATTTGACTGATTCTCCTTTTCCTTCTGGCCTCTAGAGGGCAGTGAATCCATCACCAGGGAGTCTACGGTGACGGGTCACACCAGCTACTTCAGCACGGTGCCCATCGCCAGTTTTTCAGAAGAAGAGAAAAAAGTTTCAGTCATCAAAGCCCCCCACTATGAAGGCATTGGCCCAGTGGACGAGTCTGGAATCCCTATTGCCATTCGCACGGTGAGCTCAAACATTCAATCTCTTGGGAGTGTTCTTTCACCACAGTAAAAAAAAAATACAGATAAAGCTAAAGCTTGTTTTTTTAAGATGTGTCCAATAAGATGTCAAGTGGCCTGGACCAGTACAATCATAACATAATAACCTATAAATAACAATAAGTCCGTATTTTTCCCCTTTGTTTTAATGCAAATAAATACAAGAATATTTGAAAAAAATCTTTATTAAATGAAATATTTGAAGAAACACCACTAACAAGCGATAGTGAGTTTGAGCATTTTTTCACTTTCAACATTCATCAAGGGGGCCGTATTGAACCCCAGAGTGGGCCTGTTTTGACCCGGGAGCCGTATCTTTGATACACCTGTTATAGTGCAGTAGAACATAGAGTTATAGTTTTCCCATCTAAAATCCTGTTTAGTGAAAAAAAGGATGCTGAAGTACGAGTGCGACAGTGATTATTGAAGTGGCAGTGTTGTGATTGACAGCTGGGATCATCCATTCGAACGTCCAACTTATGTCTGCAGGCTTTAAGTGCACATTAAAAGCTTTTCTTTTTTTTTTTTACCTCTCTCTCAGACACATTTTCCTCTCCGCCTACTTCACTTATTTTCAGGATGAGTTCAGCCAAGGTCTTTGACAACACAGATTTTTTTTTTTTCATCTGCTTGTGGAGCCCGTCTGCTTATATACTCGATCCTGCATTTTCTGAAGAGTTGTACATAATGACGTCCTAATCCACGCAGCATGAGAAAGTGGGAAGTCGGATGAGAACGAGGTGTGACCATTAAAATGAAGAAAGGCTGAGAAAACAGATGCTGCTGTTTGAGAGCACAGAAACATTTTTGTAGCAACTCTGTTCGGTCGCCCCGGAGAGTGAAGCGGTGATTGGCCGCTCTGTTTAGCTCTCAAAACACACACACACACACACACACCCTCTGCTTAACTGTGGAGGGAGGAATGCCTTCCTTTCGGACCAGAGTTCAGTTACTGTTTCGGTGCAGCTGAATGGAGAGGATTAAGTCCCTCTGTCATTGGATAGCTCTGGTTTTGAAGTGCTCATCAGATCTTTACTGTACAAACAAAGACACAAACCGGGCTTTTTTTTTTTTTTTTTCCTCCTGGATTACTCCACCACACCATGACTTCCTCATCTACTGACATCGCACACGTTCACATGAAAACAAACCTCCAAAGTAGTTTATCAAGTTACATTACTTTCAGTAATACTTATTCATATTGTATATGTATATATATGTATATGTATATATATATATATATTTATATATGTATTTGTATATGTATATGTATATATGTATATATACATATATGTATAAATATATATATACATATATAATTATGTATATGTATATATGTGTATATATGTATATATGTATATATATATGTGTGTATATATGTATATATATGTGTATATATGTGTATATATGTGTATATGTATATATGTATATATATATATGTATATATGTATATATATGTGTGTATATATATATATATATATATATATATATATATATATAAAATAATAAAATGTTTAGAATTTATGTTAAAATAGTTTAATAATTTCTCTCTCTCTCTCTCCCTCTGTCTTTCTCCAGACAGTAGATCGGCCCAAGGACTGGTATAAAACGATGTTTAAGCAGATCCACATGGTTCACAAAGCAGGTAAATCTGTAGCAGATAAAAGAGGAGGTTTGATTGGACTGGAGTGTTAGCGTCGCAGTAGCTTGTCGTAGGGTACACAAAAACACTCGTCGTACACATGGACGTGGACGTGTGCTTCTTTGCAACTCGTTCCTTTGAGAGACACAGAGATTGTCAGAGTCAGAACTCATTAAATGTGAGCGAGGCAGTGAGGTGTGGAAGAGGTTATTGAACAAGCTCTAATAGGACCAGAGTCGTCATGGGAAATAATCATAAAAGTGTTGCTCCCACAGATTCCAAAAGTTGGTTCTATTCCACTCAGGCTGCCTGTTCTGCAGTGGAAAACCAACATCTCCTCTCTAATGCTTTTGTTTCTTTCGAGTGACAAAAAGAATCCTACACTTAGATTATTTGTAAGGTCATAAAAAAAAAAATACACGTATCCATAAAGTGGATATAAATATTTAAATGTCTCTCTTGTGGTATTTATTATTCATAGAGCTGCCCGAACATTTCAAAGCAGCCTCTTAAATCAGTGAAAATAAATTCGTAGAAAATATCTACTTAATTAAATACGTTTTTAAAAAAAATCTATTTTTATTACAGTCGAAAATAGATTTGACATTTTCTTTTTTTTCTTTTTTTTTTACAAAAAGACATTAGTATGAATTATCGTAATTTCTGTTTACCTGTGCTGCGAATTTGTATCCAGCCATTACATGTTACGTAAACCAAAAAGCATTTATTTAAATAAAAGTCAACAAATATCTTTCTGTGTAAATAGCCCATGTTACAAAGTGGACACCTGCAGCTTATAGGGAAGTGCGGCCTATATATATACAATTATTTTTTTCTTTTTATATGTAGTGGGTGCGGCTTATATTCCGGTTATATTCAAATTACGACAGATAAAATGCGTTTCTGATTGTTATATCACTGACTTGATAAAGATGCTGACTTAGTTTATACTTAAGAAATACTAACTCTCGACCTTCTCTGCTACAGATGATGACTATTCTGACACCTACAACGCAACATACGCTGTCATCAACAACGGTGAGACCTGGTCAATAACAACACTTTCCTATCCGTACATCACCACCGCACTCCGTTCTTAACCACATCATCTTCATTTTTATCCTCATCAGACGACCACAGCCTGTCATCCAACACCACTATGGCCCACCCAGCGCCCCGCACACATACATACAGACCGCTGGTCAAGAGCCCGTCAGACAACGGAGCCCGCCAGGGGCCTCGGGAGCCTTCCCCGACCCCTGTGCCCCCACCGCCCGTGCCCATGCCGTCCCTGCTGCAGCTTAGAGCCAGGGATAGTGAACGTGTCAAAGACACAGGCGACATGTGAGATGAACTGTTCTTTTTTAATATAAACTCATAAATCTCTGGATTATATATTTTATATATATATTTTATATATATATCTCTGGATTATATATTTTATATATATGCTCTTTTTTTTTTTTTTTTTGCACCAGGAATAAATGGGGTCCCCCCGACAGGAAAGTGGACACACGGAGGTATCGGGCCGAGCCCAAGAGCATTTTTGAGTATGAGCCTGGAAAGTCGTCTATTTTGGAGCATGAAAGACCTGTGAGTAATTTTTAAAAACGTTCTCCCTTTTTTTTTGATTTGATCCAAACTCTTGACATTTTTGTGTGGCACTAAGAGGTTTATGGCCAGTAACGTTACACTACACATGCAACAATAGTCACGTCTGATACCTGATTAGAGTTTTTCATTATAGAGTATTTGATAGAAGTTATTATTATTAACTCGTCATTTTCCCTTGAATGGTAAAATATGTAAACACTGATTTTGTTGGCCTGCAAACTCAGGCTTTTGTTTCGTGATGAAAACAATTAAACTCCTCCACATTACTACTACATGCAGAGCGTTTGATGGTCACTCACGAAGTCTTTGTGTTTTCGTCCTGCGATTTCCAGTGGTGCAGCAGCAACGTTCAGTTGTCACGAGTGTAGAGTTGGCCCTCTTGTGGCCATAGATGATATGGCGTATACTACAATTGTATTCAGAATATAAGTCGCAGGATGAAGGTTTTCAACATTCCCACCTGTTTCGCGTCTTTAATTATGATTAATTAAAAAAAAAAAGCTCAGTTTCTTTACTTTAAAACGATCAAACAAAACAACATAACATTTAAATCAGATTTTGTTTTGTGAAAACATTCTCACCTCGCTACATTTATCTGACAGTCTCTACGGCGCGGTAACTCGCGGTACAATTTGCATTTGCAGACCTTCAGACTCAGTGTGGGTGTTGAAATGCAAAGGTGTCCAGTCACAGTGATTCATCCACATTTGACTGTTCTGTAGCAACAGTGCAGTGTTGGGTGAATAATAAAGTAGACGGTAGAGCTTTATCTACTGTATATGCGTGGATAAGACCATATACCAGACATGAGGTATTTCAGAAAAGAAAAAAAAAATCGCTTTTTTTTTCTGATGTCTTTTTTTCCGGAGTCTGCCAGGAGGAGGAGGGATTAAATAAAAGCTTTTTGTCAAGGTTTCACAGATGTTTAATTTTGATGACCGCAGTGAAAGCTCCCAGGACAATAGCGCATGAGTCAGCTCTCGATGGGAAGAGGCAATAAAAGGAGAAAGAAAAAAAAAAAGAAGCCTACAGACGTTAAACCCACAGACAAAAAGTGAAGCCATGCCAGATAATTTGCTGCTGTCGCTTCATTAGTTTTCCTCTCTGTTGTCACAGTGAGGAAAGACTGCAACACACACGCTTTCCATGGCGTCACTGACATCAGGTTTTCTCTATTTTACTCTCAGCCACGGCAGTTAATCGAATTTGGATGTGATTATGAAAACAAGATCATGAAAATGCCCAAACAGTATTTTCACTTTAAGCACGCTGTGAGAATGTTTAAGTCAAACGTAAACTAATCATACTCTCTGTGTTTGTTTAGACCATGCATGGGCAAAGTAAGGCCCGGGGGCCGGAAGCGGCCTGTTCAGTTTTGTTAATCCGGCCCGCCAAACTTTTCCAAATGATATTATTTATTTATTTAATCCTTATACTGCTGCCTTTACCCTGCAATACCCACGTTTCCCCAATAGATGGTGTAGAAAATGATAAAAGCATTTTAGCTTTTTTAGCCTTTATGCATGACTTTCACGTGTCATTTATCTCAGTTATCGTTGTCGCACGACGGTTCAATGTTAGGACAATTGTGGCGTCAAAATGTTTGCCCACACCTGGTTTAGACTCTGCTGCAGTTTGTTACGAGTACACTGCCACATATATTTGCATATTTATTTATGATTTGCATATATTTGCATTTTTCTCAGTTTAACGTTCAATAAAAGCAAATTCTCAATTCTCGTGATTTCATTATAAATCACAAAAATCGTGATTATGATCTTTGTCAAGACCAAGCAGCCCCAGTGTCAGCCACACTCTCACCTCTTTTTTTCTTTTTTTTCCCCAGGCTTACACTTTGATCTATTTTTTCCCAGCCTTTTTCACAAAAGGGAAATTAAAAAAAAACAGCTCCTTAACATCTTCCAGAAATATTCAACTCGGCGTCAAAATTGTTTTTTTTTTTTCATTTGCAATTAGGATAATTGTCCAAAAAAATAACCTGGTAATGAGTAAATCAGTCACCGGGACAGAGCTGTCCTTGTTTAACGTCTCTGAGATTAAAGTGTAGATAATTGACAGCTGCAGCACAGCACTTATTTTACTGCATGTAAATACTGAGTCAGCCTCCTGATGTGGCTATATATATATAAAACGACCAATCAATATGATAAAAGGGCAGAGGCCGTTAAACCCACCATCACTTCATATGTAAATACTGGAGAGGTTTTACTGCTCTGTACTGATAATCTACATGCCTCATAAAGATATATATTTGCCGGAGGAAAAGAACTCTGTGTAGCGCAGATGCATAATGAATCCAATCTTAAACGTCATTTTGTAATTTTAGGCATGATTACATAAAGATGATCATCACAATATTAACATTTAAAAATCGGCCTTTGCTGCCAAATCGACAACGACAAGGGGCAAGGGAAAACGACACCGAACATCCTCATCCGTTTACATTTGAAATGCGTCACCGAAGCTGTGGTTCACGAACCGTAAAACAGACCTTAAAACAGAAAAACCAAATCAGTGCCATTTCCTCTCTGTGACACAAATTAAAATAAAATTTAAAAAAAAATGAAATTTCTTCCAATTGCTGGACCCCCACTTTTGACCTCTGGACCAAAGGTCAAATCTGTATTGTTGTGAATTGTGTTGATGAGCCATATATACTGTATATATCCAGGCTAGCTCTTCATTCTGGTCCATTCTGTAGCCATCTCCCTGTTCATCATAACCATAAGCTCCATGTCTTTCTCTCTGCTCTGTGTCCTCTCCTCCCCTTCCCACACTTGTTTCCTTCTCTCTTGTCACTCTCATACTTTCCCCAGACGTATGATGACTTAGATTTAGAGAACGAGCCTTGGTATAAGTTCTTTTCCGAGCTGGAGTTTGGGCGGCCGGTAAGTCAGGACCAGAGCTACTCCCGTAACCGTAGTCCTGCCGTGGTGCCATACACCCAGTTCATTCACTCCACCCAATTTTTTGTCTCCACCAATAAACTGGGTGGTGCCACCTGTTTGGGCATGTAGTACTTGTTGGGTGCTGTGACTCTGCCTCTACCCGCTCCCCACCCTTATGACAGGCTGTGTTACGACTTTGTGTTGCTGGGTTTCCTCGGTCTGGTGGCTATTGCAGGCACTAATTGGTGATTGTTTTTTTTGGTGGCTATTGCAGGCACTAATTGGTGGTTGTTGTTTTGTTTTTTTTTTCACTAAAGTTAAAAAAAAAAATAGAATCATACCTGATTCTTGAATTCATGCTAATGTTAGTATTCGTTTATTCGTTTTTGCTACAGCTAATGTTTATGTTGACATCCTATACACAACCTAAAATCCTTTAGCCCCCTCTGCTGCCTGTTGCTGGTAATACCACCGCAATGGTCAAGGGCAAGGATAGCCCTTATCTAGCCACTGATCTGGGATTCAAATTGTCCTCCAACCTGGCTGTTTTTTTTTTACACTGTGTCACGAGGAGGTGCCTCACTGTGTCTGTGTCAGAGCATGACTTCAGGGTGCGGCGAGTCGTCGGCTTATTCACAGAGTTCAGGCTCAGAAATGTCACCCTCCGGTTGAACCCGGAGTCACATTGAGCCGAATGTGGACATTTTACCTGAATGTTTACATCGGTGAATAAGACTCTTGTACGTGGTAGTCACGCACAGACCGCATCAGCAGATGTTCAGAGTGAGTTCGTAATGTTTGTTATTAATACATAAATTAAATCATAACGTGTGGGTTTTTTTTTTTTTTTTTGCATTATTTACAGACACTGTCACCGCACTTGGTCAAATAAAACAAAACACTGCTGCACTCAGCTTTCTGCCTGTCAACTTGCTATCTCACTCTGCATGTGTGTGTGGTACACAGGCACATTTGTGTGTGTGTGTGTGTGTAGTATGTGACCAGTAGATCTAATCCTAATGTAATCGTTGTGGTATTTGTAAGCGAGTGTATTACCCGTGTTTATATGGGGGGGGGGGAAATGTTAGATTTAATAAGGCAGTGTATGCTGTGCTTTTTACATGTCCATACGGAGTGTGTATGTGTGTGTGTGTGTGTGTGAGTGCACATGTAAGCACTGGACACGTGCGGGAGCGTGTGCAGTACGTTCTGTGTGACCTTGCCATCTCTGTGGTTAGTCAGGTTCTCTAACCTGTGTCACTCTCTCACCATGTTTTCTTATTTGTTTTTCTCCCCATGACGTCACCTCTGCTGCTCCTCCTTCACCTCATCAACAACCTTTCACCTATCCCCCCCCCCCTCCCTCCCCCCTTGTCCTCTTCCTCCTTCCTCTCCTCCTCCTCCTCTTCCCGCTCACTGCTGCTGCTTGGGGCTCAAGCCTCCTAAAAAACGGCTGGATTATAATCCAGACATCTCAGCCCGCCGGCACATCGAGGTAATCTTACATTTGTTCACTTTACAGTAGTAGACCACACGCATTCTAATCAATCGTTTGATTATTTAAATAAAATATTTGACTAAAATATACAACTAATATAACATGTAAAAAAAAATTCTAACAATATTTCAGGGAGAAAATAATATTAAAATATTCATTTGTTTTTGTTTTTTTGTGATTCACTGGTTATTGTTATTATTTATTGAATGAATTTTATGATCTTATGTTTAAAAAAAATAGACATTCTGCCGTTACGACGTGTTGGTTCCAAAGAGATTGAGATTTTTTTTTAGCATAGCTTCTTAGCATTTGATCCTGTAGTGACTGGCAGGCATCCAGATCTATCTTCAATCTAAAAGAGTAGGAGAAATAATCAGAGGAGTAGAAGAACCAAAGGAGAGTCAACATATCGATACGCATTATATCATATATTAAACATTTTTAAATGGATTTATTTTCACTGAAGAAGTGAAAATTATAGTGTCTGCTCTCGTCATTTTGCAAGATCACTAAAGTTTATCACATATATTTCTGTATCGACCTTTCTGTCTATTGTGTTTGGAATATGTACAGCACTTTACCGTTTGCATTTTATGACAATCAGACAATGACTATGACAATAGGATGGCAGTGAATTACTGCAAACTTTGTTGAATGTGTAGCTTTAATTTTATAAACGTCTGTGATCACTTGTTCTAAACAAACATTTCTTTCTTTCTTTCTTTCATTCTTCTCTATTTTACAAATGATATTTTCTGACTTTTATGAAAGCATCGCTGCGTTATCTCTTCAATGTTTTCATCGTGACAGCATTCGGTGTCACGGTGTTTCCTGCAGCCTCACTGTGTAAACAAAGCAAACACCTTTGCTCCTAAGATCCATTCCAGGTTATCCATGCCAGGTTTTGCAAGTCAGCATCTGCCCCCCCCCACCCCCTAGGTTATCCATGCCAGGTTTTGCAAGTCAGCATCTCTCCCCCTGAGAACAGGGGTTCTCAGCTCACTACATTCCCTTTCCTTCTTCACCTTTAACCATTATCTCACAGGCTGCTCTGTGCGGGGAGAAGAAACTGATCCTTTTGCTTAAACACCAGCCGGCCTGTTCTTGGTCGGGTGTTCCACGTGGAACCGGCGTCCATCTGTAGCTTACACTGGGGGAGTGCTTTCAGTGTGGCACAGTAAGCAGCGACCGCATGCGAGCTGTGCACTGTGAACCGCTGTTCCTCCCGGTCTTTGTTCTCTCTGCGTAGCTGACTTCTCTTCTTTGGTTGTCTGCCCTTATTTTCAGACCACCCTGCACTTGGCTCCCGCTGACAAGGCTCTGGAGAGACCGGCGAGGTAACCCACTGCTCCCTTTATTTTTCCTCCGCATCATCCCTTACCCCACCCCCATCGTCCACCCCCATCCTCTCATCATCATCAGCAGCAGCCCTTCAATTTTTTTTTTGCACAGAATGAAAACAGTGCAACCTTCTTGCACCCCTCGCCAGTGCAAGAAGCCGAGCCTTGAACACAAAAGCTTCAAAGCTTTACATTGTCACCAAAGACTTATTTGGGTTTAAATCCTCGTCTCTTAGGTCAGCCAGAGTAAATGAACCATGCAAATCTATTGACTTTGTCCAGCACCTCCTTCCTTCCCCCGTCTCCCCTGCATGTCCTTTTCTTGTCCCACTCCCATTCACCAGTGGCCTGATTAGTCAGTCACATTTTACGCGGTGGAAGGTCAGGAGGACGGCGCTGAAACGGGCTGAACGTTAGATGGAAGCTATTGACACAAGCAAGCTTAGTCACTGTGACCACGATTGTTTGTTAAAGTGAATAGAAACCTAGAAATCTCTTAGCAACATTTGCAAATTATTTTTATCCCAACGTTAAACGTAAGTAAATACAGAATAAGAGTTCGATTTTTTTTTTTTCCTTCCCTGTTCCTTCAACAGTGTCTCATGTCCTGTTTGCATCTGTGCTGATGTTTGGATTTTTACAGTGCTGCCAGTGACTACAGGAAGCGAAGGAAGTCAGAGCCGTCCAATTCCCCAGCCAACGCTCAGACGTCTCAAAGCCCAAACGTCACCTCCCCGAAACCGGTGGATGCCTACAGCAGACCCAGCAGCAGTTTAAAGAAGCCAGTCATTCGTTCCTCGCCTTCATCCCCCTCCAAAGCCAAAGGTAGAAACATAAAAAGTCCGTGATTTTCTCTCTCTCTCTCTCTCTCTCTCTCGATCTCTTCTCTGATCCCACCTCTCCTATTTTAAACTATCATCACGCTGACCTTTGTTTAACAACTCACTTGATTGTCTTTTCCTGTGCTTTATTGCTTTTGGCTGGCGAAAGGAGAAAAAAAAAAAAACTTAATATTTCCACAGCCTAGTTTCTCTTCCCTCTTTTACTTCTCCTCTGCTCTTCCCTTTAGATCCTAGAATATAGTAGTAGATACTACTGCTAAATCTGCTTTCTTCCTTTTTCTCTTTTCACCACGCTGCTTTCTATTGGACATCCATATAAAAAAGGTGGGGACGCATGCGGCATGTATTCAAATAGTTTAACACCCCCAGGTCTTCGCCAGGTGCCCCCTCCGCCCCCTCTTCTCTCTGACCCGGTCTTTTCCATCGAGGATGCCAGCCTGGACGGCAGCTCTGCTTCTCAGCAGTCTGCTGCCCCTTGCGAAAACCGTTGGCAGACAAAGCGCCAGGATTCGGAGACGTGGGTCAGCGCGGAGGAGACGCCAACGTCTCCGTCACCTGCTAAACTTCGGTCGCGTAGCTGTGACGATCTGCTCAATGATGGGCTCTCTGGTCCAGGTGGACGCAATGCCACCCGCTCTGAAAGTGCTGGCTCTCTGTCGCTGATGTGTGACGGGAATCCTTCAGCTTCAACTGCTCCCAGTTCCACCTGCTCGCTGCCCAGACTCAAAAGGCAACGGGCGCATGACTCACCTGGATTTCTGCAGCTCTACCGTAAAATGCATCAAATCGACCGAGCTCACCTTATTCCGTCGGACATCATCCGCTCGGTCCGGGCCCGTATCCTAGAATTAGAGCGTCAACCGCACCTGTATCGCCATCGCCTCTCGCCATGGACACCCTCCTGGGGTGTGGACGTTCCTCGCGACATGGTGCCCAACCGCATTTCCGAATATGAACGCCTTATCCAAAAGTCCAAGTCCATGCCCAACTTGGGTGACGGAGAGATGCCGTCAGGAACTACAACACCCGGCTCTTCTTCTCGAGCCAGTAGCGGTGGCGGTGGCACGCCCAGTTTACCGAAACGCCGCTTTTCCATCGAGTCATTACTAGAGGACGATAACAACGGGACGGTAGCGCACAAAATGGACCACCTACATCGACCACGTAGCCCACCTGAGGGACAGCCTCGCGGACCAGAGCGCAGCCAAGCTCGAGCCTTTCCTTTCGTTCCCCCCGTCCCTCAAAGCCTTCGGGCCAATGCTGACTTTTCCGACAGCGAACAGGACGCTGTCGTGTCGGACCTCAGCGACTTCATTCAGGTGGAGGGTTCCTCGTTCTGCAGTGAGAGTGACTTCGACCATTGCTCTCTCACGTCCACCGAGAGTCTATATGGTGGCTCCTCCACCCTTCATCACCACCCTGTTCTTCGTCATCACCACCACCACCATCACCACCACCACCACTCTGGACACCAGAACCTGGGCCAGAGCCAGGGCTACCAGCACCGTCACCTCATCAGCACCTGCAAAGGTCGCTGCCCGGCTTCTTACACCCGTTTCACGACCATGCTTCGGCACGAGCGAGAGCGAGCTCGCCAGGAGCAAAAGCCCCCGCAGCCGAGTCTCAACAGACAGTCCCAGGAAGCAATGTCCAAGCTGGCCTTCCTGGTCAGCCCAGTGCCTTTCCGTAGGAAAAAGGGCTCACCAACTACCTCTAGAAGAACCGGTAGCAGTGGCAGTCGAGGCAGCAGGCCCAAGTCCAAACAGGCCATCTACGAAGCCCTGGACCAAGCCTTGAGAGACATTTATGAGCACATCCAAGCAGAACGAGGCCAGAGAGGTGCCCGGGCGCCGGATGATAGCATCCTTAGGCGAATCCTCGCTGAGCTGCTGCCAACTGTGCCTGAGCGAAGCTCTTCGCTGCGCGGGAGAAGAGGATGCTGGCAAGGGGGTCACTCGTCTACGTCCTTGTGCCCAGACGGTAGCCCCACTTGGTACGCCAACTACGGGGAGGACCCGTCCTCACCTTTGTTACAATCCCCGCGGTTGCAGTCACCGGTCAGTGCCTGTTACGGACAACATTCGGAAGCCTCAAACAATAATGAATACGGAGAGGAGCAGGGAAATGGAAATGAGCCCTGTTCATCAGGTGGAGACGCTACACATGTCACACATCCCCTCCATCCACGTCTACATTCGTTTCAATCATAACCATACATTTGCATTGTTGTGTTTGTATGAAACATATATACCGTATGTGTAAGAAGTCACGGGTCTTTTTTAGTCCATCCAAAATATCCTGACGGGTCTTTTTTAGTCCATCCAAAATATGTGGATCCTGAATACTGTATTTTCCGGACTATGAGTCGCACTTGGGTGGGTTTGCGTCTTATACTCAGGTGTGACTTATATATCAAAAAAATATATAATTTCACACGTTTGTTATTTTCACGCTGACAGCCGCTAGAGGGCACGCTAGGCTTGTGTACCAGTATCCGCTACTCCTGTCCTGTCGTCTTTTGGCTGGTGCGACTTATACTCCGGAAAATACAGTTTATGGGTTGTTTTCACGATCACGTTACATTTTCTAATGATCTTTTAGTTCATTTTAACCAATTTATTCAAAAAATGTAAGCAGTTATTTCTGTGGATTTTAATATGTTTTTTCCAAATATTTTCATCATGACAAGGTCAAAGCCATATTTAGGTGATTTGTGGTCATTTTGCCACGGGCCCTGATTTCTGACACTGCTTGTATATATCTTTGTATACCTGTATAGAAATGATCAACTAGTCTTTGACAAACATATTATTTTTTTTAATAAATGTTTCTTTCAGTATTTTCCATCATCGCACTGTACTTTTTCTTTTCCCTTTTCACTGCTGCCGTTCAGCCCTCGGTACATTCATAACTTGGTTTGGTTTATTTTTGTACAGTTGTGCATCAGTTGTGATACGTTGACCACAATTTCCCAAGTGAAAACCTGTGGTTTCTGCTATCACTGTAACGCACTGTTTGAGAAGTTGTGGCAAACCGGTATTATTGTTATTTATATTATTTATTTTTTCTATGTTCCATTTACAATTGAATGGTCGCTGTATGCTTCCTTTTTTTTATTCCTTTCATTTTCAATTTATTTAAAAATGCATGTGTTTCTCGTGCCCTTTAAAGGAAAGGTGAAATCGTGTGTTTCTTGTGACAAACCTACCTTCGACCTGAGTTTTCAATCATTCCCTCATTCAGTTGGAATGGCATCATCAGTGCACCATCATTTTTTTTTTTTTTTTTTTTTTTTTTTTTTTTTTTATTGTGAGCATGTGTCCTCCAGGACAGTGGAAAGTACAACCTTGTGACCTTTGATATTTGTCTCGTCCAATCATAGACCAGGATGTGTCTAGGGGATATTCTTCCGTGGATGGACGTCATACACCTCAGAACAGAAAACCAGTTGACAGAGAGGTACAGTAGCACTTACTGCAAATCATACACTCACAAATATATATATATATATATTAGAAAAACAAAAACATGTAGCAATGAAAACAATGTAAAAGCAGCCAATTGGCAGTGGCCCGCTAACAAAAACGTTGACTTTTTTTGTATTATTTTTATTAGTCGCTGTCATTGTCATCATAGCCCAGTTTAACCCACTTACCTACATTTCATGTTAGCTCTGATAAAGTAGCTACCGACCTACTTCTTGACGCTCCAGGTGTGCCCAGGAACTCATTCTGTTCTCTTTCCTCCATCAGAAACAGCCGGCGAGAGCCATTTATGATTTTAAGGCCCAAACCGCCAAGTGAGTAAAAACCTCAAGAAATTCATGTTTGTCGTCAACATTGTCTCAAACAGTGCATGTAGTGGGGGAAAAAATGCATCTATAAATATATTTGTTTTATATATTCCTTGATTTGATTTACTGTCTGTGGACTTAGATCGAAGGAGGTGACAATTTTAAAGTTTGTCAAGAGTGACCAGGCGAATGTGAATTTTATTTAGTGGCTTCGACAACAACCTTAGCAAAGACCCTTAACGCACTGTTTGAGAAGTTGTGGCAAATCGGTATTATTGTTATTTATATTATTATCTTTTTTTCTATGTTCCATTTACAATGGTCGCTGTATGCTTCCTTTTTTATTTATTTCATAATTTTTTTATTATATTAGCACTGCATGTGTTTCTCGTGCCTTTTAAAGGAAAGGTGAAATCATTTGTTTCTTGTGACAAACCTACCTTCTACCTGAGTTTTCAATCATTCCCTCATTCAGTTGGAATGGCAATCAGTGAACCATCAGTTTTCTTTTTCTTTTTTTTCTTTTTTTTTTTTTTATTGTGAGCATGTGTCCTCCAGGACAGTGGAAAGTACAACCTTGTGACCTTTGATATTTGTCTCGTCCAATCATAGACCAGGATGTGTCTAGGGGATATTCTTCCGTGGATGGACGTCATACACCTCAGAACAGAAAACCAGTTGACAGAGAGGTACAGTAGCACTTACTGCAAATCATACACTCACAAATATATATATATATATATTAGAAAAACAAAAACATGTAGCAATGAAAACAATGTAAAAGCAGCCAATTGGCAGTGGCCCGCTAACAAAAACGTTGACTTTTTTTGTATTATTTTTATTAGTCGCTGTCATTGTCATCATAGCCCAGTTTAACCCACTTACCTACATTTCATGTTAGCTCTGATAAAGTAGCTACCGACCTACTTCTTGACGCTCCAGGTGTGCCCAGGATCATTCTGTTCTCTTTCCTCCATCAGAAACAGCCGGCGAGAGCCATTTATGATTTTAAGGCCCAAACCGCCAAGTGAGTAAAAACCTCAAGAAATTCATGTTTGTCGTCAACATTGTCTCAAACAGTGCATGTAGTGGGGAAAAAAATGCAACTATAAATATATATATATATATATTTTTATGTTTTTATCTTGTGACTTTTTTTAAAAAAATTCCTTGATTTGATTTACATTACATGACAGTTTTAAAGTTTGTCATAAGTGAACAGGCGAATGTAAATTTTATTTAGTGGCTCAAATGTTTGTTTGTTTGTTTTTTCACTTTCCTGGTCTCTGTCGTCATAATCTTCGACAACAACCTTAGAAAAAAACCTGTTAACGACACGTGACTGTGTTACAGAGAGCTGACGTTTAAAAAGGGCGAAGCAGTGAATATCATCAGGCAGATAGACAACAACTGGTATGAAGGAGAGCACCGTGGATGCGTGGGAATTTTCCCCATATCGTATGTGGAGGTGAGTTGCACAACGCGAAACATCCATCCTGTTCCGCACGCTGCTGGTTGCATTTAATCTCCTTGTGTCGCTACGGCCGTGCAGAAGGTGCCGTACGTGGAGAGGCAGCAGCCGATCCGTCCTCCTCCGCCAGCGCACGTCAGAGAGATCGGCGAGGCGGTGGCTCGCTACAACTTCAACGCCGACACCAACGTGGAATTGTCACTCAGAAAGGTACTCAGCTTCGTGTGTCTATTGGTACTAAGGATGGAAACTCGATAGAGGTTTTTCCGATGTCCGATATCAATACTGCAACTTGAAGTATCTGCCGACCATTATTGAACCGATACCGATCCTGAGCATTAGATCGAGTCATCCCTATTTATTTTAAAGGACACTTGACCGTATCCAAAAATTACATCGAGAGCAACCGGACGGGGTAGGTTTCTCGAAGACGTTTCACCTCTTATCAAAGAGGCTTCTTCAGTTCTTCAGAAAAAAAAAAACCCTACTCCGTCCAGCTGCCCTCGATGTGACTATTTTTGGATCAGATGACCTGGATGACTGAGAACCTACACAGACGCCTTGTTTTGTGTGTGCGTGTGCAGGGGGAGAGAGTGATGCTGTTAAGGCAGGTGGATCAGAACTGGTACGAGGGCAAGATCCCGGACTCGGCAAAACAGGGGATCTTTCCAGTGTCCTACGTGGACATCATCAAGCGCTCACCGTCTAAAGGCTCCGCCCATCACATAGATCCACGCGGACACTCCGGCAGCAGCAGGACACCGAGCAGCACATCCGTCAAGGTAGGACAGTCATTACCTCATCGTTGGCATAGTAACGACCCTAGATCGTATATATATATAACTGGATAAAGCTGTTCCCAGAATCAGAAATACATTTTTTTTTGTGTTTGTTTGTGCAACACAGTCAAGTCAAAACTATAGACCTTTCATAAGAACTGGATGAAGCTACCTCAAAGCAGGCTGTGGTTGCAATGTAAAGTCATTAAAAAAAATATATATGTGAATATGAAAATAAGCATTAAATGACCAGAAAAATATTTTGTAAAATAGTTTGTTTTGTGGGTGTTTTCTTAAAAAAAAAAATATATGTGAATATGAAAATAAGCATCAAATGAGCAGAAAAATATTTAATTTGAATAGTTTGTTTTGTGGGTGTTTTTTTACCCCCAAAAAAAAAAAAAAAAAAAAAACCCCAGGTGAGTACACCAGGTGAGTACGCTGTCTTTCATTTCTACAGTTCGACACACGCAGCAGACCATACTCTGTTAATCACACTCTGTTCCTTCCCCTTCACTTGATCTTCACGGAGCCCTTCCACCATCAACCTCCACTCTCCACCACCCATGACCTCATCTCCCTCCAGCCCCCGTTGAGAAGGCCCGACCTTCGAGCTGTCACCAACGAGTGGTTGTCCCTCACAATGGACACCGCCCCCTCCACTCCCTCACACTCCCGCACCACCACTCCGGCACCGCCCACACCTCCTCCTCTCCCTGCTGATCTCTCAGCCTTGCAGTTTCCTCCGGAGCCTAAGTCGTTCTCCCCCACTCCGACACAGCGAGGCTCCTTCGCCCTCCCACCCCACCCATCCTCCAGGCCTTCGCCGTTTAGAGAAGGGAAATCTAGTTTAGGTCGCCCTCCGGCTCTTCCGCCTTTCTCCCCACCGCCGCCACCCTCTCCTCGTTCCTCACTCACCTCCCCACCGCCTGCGCCCGCAGCAGCGGACTCGGACCGCAGCAGCAGAGGCTTCACTGAAACAGCACACATTTCGCATGTTCCTAAGCCGGAGGTTTTGTTCTGTACGTCGCCCGAACCGATAAAGTCACCGACACTAATTCCACAGTTGTACCAGTCGAACGAACCGAATAACAAACGAACCAGAGCTGCTGATATTGAGCTGCAGGTTCAAGACCCTTACGATGAACTATTATCTCTGGTCCTGGAAGAAACTATCGGAACAGGCGCTGCTGACTCACTAAGATTTTCACCTTTTGAGTCCCAGAGGGTTCAGTCGAAAGCAGAATCTGGGCAGGTGACGGGAAAACCTCCTCCTGTAGCTCCAGCAGTTAGTAAAGCCACAGGAGGAGCAGGCAGTGTTCAGTTAGAGGTGCAGTTTCACAAGCCGGTGATGATGGAGCCGCTGGCTCCCACCTGGGGGGCTCAGGCGAAAAGTGACGCACCGGTCAAGTCTCAGGAACCGCCATCGGTTAAGGGGACGGTGTTTACAGAGCTGTTCATTGAGGAAGAGGATGAAGCTTTAGACGAAGAGGAGGAGGAAGAGAAGATTAGATCTTTAAGTGAAAGACTCGGTGTACAGGTAGAGCATGGTGTGAGCCTCAGTCGGGGCATGGAAGAAAATACGTTTGACCCTAATACGTTATTTAACGTCGATTTCTGAAAGTAAATGAGTAAAAGTCAAATAAATACGTTCCCTTTTTGTTTTAAAGTAACTAATGTAATGTAGCGTCATTTTAATTTAATTTTTGTGCCTAAAAATACAGATTATTGACAGAAACAAACTTGTACTAAACTTGTCACAAATAATGAAATTTAATTAATTTTTTTTTTTTATTTTCCTCCATGTCCCTCTTGAGTTTTAGCAAAATTCAGCCATAACCACAATCAGGCTGTTTTTACAAATAAAAACAAAGATTGTGTTATCCTACTGTTTGTGAACCAGCGCCCGACTTTCGAGGTCATTATTTTATACTGTTAAACAACAAGTTAACATGCTCAAAATACTATTACAAATGCAGTTCAACATGAGCCGAGATCCTAACCACTACGTTACGGTGGATGCTTTATAATTTATTCGTTAAACAGTAGTTTGAACCTAGTGTTTAGGGTACTGGTATGTAATATCTGTATGTACAAACATTTCTGGAAGTTAGCCAAGGTTAGCGATATCAGCTAATTGGGCGGCAAGATAAGTAAAAGTCAAAATGTTAAATGTTAAAATGTATTCAAAACAAAAGCAAAAAAAGTTAGTAACAATCTTATCTGTGACCCACATCCAGCCCACCTAGACCTAGGTCTGGTCTGGATCCCTATTTGTGAAGCATACATTTCAACAGATTGAACCATGTTTAATGGCATATGTAATGATATTTGAAGTATGTAAGAGCCTTGTACTGTTCCTGGTTTACCAGCATTCACAAACAGTAGACTAACTCACTCGAAGTTTGGAGAAATTGTCTTAGGAACTTTCAGTTTTGTTTTTTTTTCTTTCTCAAGTTAGCATCAAGTGTTAGCCTCGGGACTGATGTGTGTGTTGTTACCTCTGTAGGCTGACGTCTCTCCTCCCGTCCCGACACGGCTTGCTCACCCTGGCTCCTCCTCCTCACCCTCCGTACCACGACCTCTTACCTCCTTACCTCCCTCCCCTCCTTTTTCCTCTTCTTCTTCCTCCTCTTCATCTTCCTCTTCTTCTTCTTCTTCATCTTACGCCCCTCCTCCTGCCCTACCTTCCCCATCACACTCAAAGCCGTACGACAGCATCAGCATTCCCACCTCTCCTCCGCGCTCCCCGCGGCCCCCGCCCCTTCCACATCTCTCCACGTCGCCCCCACCTTTACTCCCTCCTTCTCCGCCTGTCTCTCCACCACCCGCCCACTCCTCGCAGCGCTCAGCTCCTCCACGCTCCAGCTTTTCTCAGTGTCCGTCCGTGCCCATCCCGTCTCTTTCTGACTATGACTCACCCACACCACTCCCAACTAAGCCACCTTCGCCCCCGACTCCACCTGCTGTCCCCCATCCAGGACATAGGTCTTCTAAGGTGAAGGTAAAGCTGGAATGTTGGGTCCATGGCTTGGTTTTTCGTTTTTTTTTTTGGTCTTGGTGTGAGGAAAAAGTCCAGCTGTTGTTAAATCCCTGCTCCGTCGGAGGGAATGATTGGATTTGGTTTTTGCTCCGTCGGAGGGAATGATTGGATTTCGTTTTTTTTACAAATTATTTAAATGATATTACTTTAATGATGATAAAAGAATGACATTTACTGACATTTTAATCCAGAGTGAATGGAATGAGAAGACTTTGTTTTGCCCTCTAACCCTTGAACTAACACAGGGTCTGAGTAGCTTCTCCAGTGTCCTTGTCTCCTCGCTTGCATAGCTTCTACTGTGTCGTCTCCGTCTCCTTGAGGAATCTCGAAGGTGTGTGATTGAGATGATGGTGATGACGGCTGTAGCTGGTTGACAGTAGGGCTGGGTATTTACTAAGAATTGAACGTTTTGATTCAAATTCTTAAACTCGATTCGAATCGATATTGACCTAAATGCTGTGATATCGATTCAGTATCAAATAGAAATACTCAAATGAGTACCTGATCATTTTGGTAATAATCACTTATTTATTTCCATGCCCATATGAGCAGTCATGGTTTAACTTCTAGCAATTTTGAGCAACAGAAGATCTGAAAATAAAGCATCAACACAGTAATACTAGTACAGAATATGGTGGAAAGTACTGTATAGTTTGCTGGTATTTATACCAATGTGGCCACTGAGAGGCATGGGTCAGAATCAGAATGGCATATAATACATACCAGTAGTAATAAACAACCAAGGAAAAGCTAAATTGCCTATGATTAGCATTAGCATGGGTCAGAATCAGAATGGCATATATTAATAATACATACCAGTAGTAATAAACAACCAGGGAAAAGCTAAATTGCCTATGATTAGCATTAGCATGGGTCAGAATCAGAATGGCATATAATACATACCAGTAGTAATAAACAACCAAGGAAAAGCTAAATTGCCTATGATTAGCATTAGCATGTCAGACAATCAACATAACTGTCAGTTATGGAACAAAATATAAGGCTGACAGCCTTAAAAATCTCATTTACTGGTTCCTGGCACACTCTAATACTATATATATATTTTTTTTTTTTTTTAAATAGGCACAGCAACTCTTAAATAAACTTAACGATCTTTTCTACCGACACACCGCTCATTGCCGCGCCCCTCTTTGACAGCAGGGGGCACTGTTCTCCGCTGAACCTATGCTGTCGTTCAACACCAAGGGGCTTGAATCGATATTAAATCGTGAGGAGAGAATTGCCAAGTCAGCGATGAATCGATATCTTTTACCCACCCCTATTTGACCGCATGCCCTTTCGCCTGCACTTGTTGAGTTCATTGACCTGTCGAAGCTCACGGCTTGTGTTGCCTCTGGTCTTTCCGCTTGTTAAGCAGGATCCGGTGGTTGGCGGTAAACCTCCTCGTAGCCCCATCTTGTCCCGGAGGTCGTATCTGTCTCCCGTTAGAGGTCGAAGGGTAGGGGGGCCATGCCTTCATTCAAAGCATGCTGTTCCTGTACAGTTCTATAATCTCTGCATGGAGGAAATCAGTCGTTCACCACTGATCACCTCACACCCTGTAACACATACTGTTTGTTTTTTTTTCCTACATACATGTAGGGTTTGTTTTTTTTCAAACATCTAGAAAAGTTCTATTAAGTATTAAGAAAATGTTGAAAAGCCTTAACGATAACAGATACCTGTCACATTTGGTTTAATTGTGTTTTTGTTTTTGTGTCTTTCTTAGCGATTAGTACAGGATGCGCTCCACGGTGGAGGAGACCCGTAAGTGATTTTTTTTAAGATATTTTGCATAAGAATTATTTGTTAAATGTAGGGCTATTAATTTTGTCCTCAACTGTGACTGGTGATCGTAGACCAAACAATGGGCCACGTGCTGGTCGTTACTTCACTGTCTCTGTAACATTCATCGTTCATATTGCGGACACTTGCCGCGTTAACGGTCAGTATGTTGTGACGCAGATACCAAGTCCTGTACAACTATATGCCTCGCAACGAGGACGAGCTGGAGCTGAGAGAGGGCGACATCGTCGATGTGATGGAGAAATGTGACGACGGCTGGTTTGTTGGTAAGAGAAGGAAAGGAGACGTTCATTTTTAAAAATGTTGTTTGTTAAAATGTTGTTGTTTTTTTTTTTTGTCCTGTGATTATCTTAGTAATTTCTCTCATTTTTGTGTATACCGTAATTTCCCGTCTATAAGCCACTACTTTTTTTTCACACGCTTTGAACCCTGTGGCTTAAACAATGACGCAGCTAATTTATGGATTTTTACGTGCTAACGAAGTTCATAAAGCTAACTATCAATGACTTTTCTGGTAGGCTACCGTGTGTTATACTAGCGTAGCGTTTGTCTGTCATGTCATGTTGAAGTGTGAGTTGGTTATACAGCAGCTGTTAAAGCTCTGTTTATGTTCTGTTGTGGTCTTTGTAGCTGATAATAAAGACCCCAACTTCCCTGTTTCTGTTTACCTCTGCTGCGGACAAGCACAAAGTGAAGGGAGTTAGCCGCGTAGCTAATGTTAGCTTCGGCCCTGGAGCAGATCACTAAGTCTCCCCTGTGCATTCCAACTACGGTCGGGGACGCTGAAGCAGGAAAGAGCTAACGTGTAACTAGCCGTGTTACAGGCACAGTTCGAAAAAAAGCATTTATTTAATTAGTTAAAAGAAATATTTCTGTATAAATATCCAATGTTACGTTTCTGTGTAAATATCCAATGTTACAAGTGCAACCTATATATGTACAATTATTTTTTTCTTTTTAAATTTAGTGGGCACGGCTTATTTTCAGGTGCGCTCAATAGTCCAGAAATTATGGTTAATATAATTTATGCATTTTTTTTTCCAATCATCTCACCTGTACATTGGCCCCAAAATGTTACTGGATTGTGAGACACGTTTTCTTGACACCTATTTCAGATCTCCTAAGTATCACTACAGGAGCGGTTTCCTCTTGCGTAGTTCTGTGTTACTGACCCATAAAGGAAGATGGCGCTCTACGATAAATTCAACTCTTTACATTTAGCTTGTGTTCTGACTGCAGTAAAATGAAATGATCTTCGTAAGGGCTGCTGCCAAATTCATTTTCTTCCGCTTCATGTTTTGAAGGCACGTCTCGAAGGAGCAAGTTGTTCGGAACCTTCCCAGGAAACTACGTGAAGCAGCTATAATAATTCCAACACCTCACCTCCCCTCAGGCCACACCCCCTCCCATCGGCACCGCCTCCCATCAGCTCTCAGCAAATACGTGCGGCACATGCTGAATTGTGTGGCTTGCGAGCTTCACACAAACAAGAACATTTAGCTCTAAACTAGCCATTGGAATGGAAGAGAATGTTGTGTATTTTTAACTTATATTTTTATTTTTTTATCACTTAGAATCTAGACTTTAGCAATGTGCAACCTTTTTTTTTTTTTATCCACTTGACAGTGATGGAATGATAGGAATCTCTTGTCGGGATGAAACCAGGAGAAAGTGACGTTGGTCACAGAGACATAAACAGTTTTTACATTTTACGTCAGTGTTCGGTTTAAATCCGTGTCCGCAAAGACACTCTGTGCTGAGAGGGATCCAGTATTCTGCCCGTCAGCAGGTCTGTTGTATGAACTGTATTAATCGGGCGTTTGCGGCCGATGTCATCGTACCCGGTAAAGGAGTGATATGTGGAGCAGACTGTGCATGTGTCGTTGTTAATTGTTACTCAGTGCATCGATTAGATTATACTTAGGTCAATGACAGTTACTAATTAAGTCATTTTGGGGTTTGTTTTTTTTTTTTTAATTTTGCAACCAGAAAGTGTAAAAGTATCATTGGAAATGCTAGATTTACTAAATATAGGAGTAGACACCTCTGTTGTTTTTTTTAACTTGACAACTAGAATATTTGATGCACTTTAACAAAGTTTAAACACTATCTGTGTGTGTTTTTTTGTTTGTTTGTTTGTTTCACTTCAGGTTTTATACACCAGAGATTGTTATGACCTGGAGCTCTTGCCACATGTATGGAGAGGATATGTTGATGAATCAAGATTACTGACGGGGTTTTTTTTTAGGTATAATCATGAGATAACAAACATAAGGTTCCTCACAGACTGGAGCAGCAAAACACACACAAGGAGTTTTTTTTTAGGTATAATCATGAGATAACAAACATAAGGTTCCTCACAGACTGGAGCAGCAAAACACACACAAGGATGTTTCATCCTTCATTTGTAGGATACAATCTTATATCAAATTTAAATCAACTCAAAAGAATCCGAATATGATTTGAGTTATATACTGTGCAAATGTTTAAGGCTAGGTTAAAAAATATATATATATAAGCTGTAAAGTTAAAATGATTTCACAAATATCTTTTTTTTTTTTATTTTAGTTTACAAAATACCGTATAGAAAAAAAATAATGTCAGAAGAAAACCTGGTAGACTTAGGTGAAGGACAGCGACACCTATCGACTGCCTAAAGAAATGTTGCCAGAATGAGTTTTGGTGGCTGTGAATAATTTGTACCATCGAAATGGAACTATGGTGATTTAACTATGCACAAAAACATAGGAACTTGGCGGAGAACTATAGTAGCACAATAGCGACATCTGCTGGTAGTCACGAAATACAGCGATGGCTGCTTTGCAGGTTTAGAGCTGAGTTTCTGCAAATGCAATGCAGTATTTGAAATCTGTATCCAGAATTCCTTTTTTTTTCTCTCCTTTTGATTACATTATATCTCAGCAAATCAAATGATTAAAAAAGATATTTGTGAAAGTATTTTAACTTTACACCTTTTTTTTTTCCCAACTCAACTCTAAACCTTAGCACAGTGCAGACACCAGGGACTGTTTTTTAATCCAGTTTTCAGAGTAAATCCATAGTGTATCACTGTTCAAGTACTATTTCCCTTTTATGTTGACATGCACAAGATTTCTTTCTTTCTTTTTTTTTTTAATTATTATTATTATTTTGTGTTTCACTCATGCTGGGCACCGACACAAGACAAGTTAAAGCACCTTAAGATATTATTTTATTTTGATCATTCACTGTCTTTCATGTCACACCCGACCCTTCAACATGTCATCCTTTATTTTAGGCTGTGTCTGTGTCACTGTGTGTGTGTGTGTGTGTGTGTATCTGTGTGTGTTTTTGTAAGCCTTTTGTATGAGTGCTGTACAACGGTCAACATCCACTTGCTTTATAAAGTCTGCTTTTTCTCACCAAACGACACATTTAGTTTTCTCTTCTTTCTTTACGTCTCTGTCATCACTGGTGCTTTTTTTTTTTTTTTTTCCTACACTTTATTGGCAGCTTTCACTTTGGCCATAGGGCTTTTCTTTCCTTCCCTGGTTGTTCTTTAAAAACCAACACCTTATAATACAAAGAATAAAGTCAGTGTAGGTAATTTTATATCAATACATTTGTTAACTTTATCTGTGATGCAAAAAAAAAACATTCATTAATGCCGTGGTTCCCAACTTAATCATTGGGCTTCGGGAACCGCGGCATTAATGCGTGTGTAGTTTAGAGTTCAGAGCACAGTGTGCACAGAAAACCCTCACAAACAAGTTTCCTCTACAATCTTAGAGATTTGGACTCTAACCGTTGATATTTGAACTGTAATGCCCACAGAAAACCCTCACAAACAAGTTTCCGCTACAATCTTAGAGATTTGGACCGTTGATATTTGAACTGCAATGCTCACGTCAACCAGTCTATACGTGCAAAATTAAAGGCAAACACTCGGACCTGTGTTGTTTTTACAGTATTCTAGAAGTTATTCACTGACTTTGTTCAGCTGTGTTGCTAATAAAATCCAGCGTTTTGGTAAAATACTTTTGTTTTGTTTTTTTTCAGCGGTAACAGATGATGAAAACCGAACAACGGGATTGTCATATTGTGTAAAGGTACCTTGCTTTGATTTTTTTTTCTTCCCCCCTTTTCTCCTGTCTCTAAGGACTCAGTTTGGTGGTGGTTTGGTGATGGTGACTTTTCCGACTTTTTTACAGTTCCACCTATTGACACTGGAGGGCAGTAATGTACCATAAATAAAGAGCACAGCTGCTTGTCTGAAATTAGAAATCCCACATTTCAGAGAAGGCTTATGTAAATAAAAAATGTTTTCAAGGAATTAAAAATAGTTTAGTGATATCGCTGGCACAACTAAATATCTTCGTGATCTGAATTTTTGCTACGGGATGGAGGACATGCAGATAGTTGGAGTCAGAGTAGGACATACAGAGAACAGGGAGAGACGGAAATCAATGATTCACTGTGGCAACCCCTGTAAAAAGGGACAAAGCCGAAAGGAAAAGAAGAAGAAGAAGATTTTTTTGAGCTGTGCTTTTAGTGCTTTTAGTTATTGTTAAGAATAACATTGTTGGCTCCACTCTCGTACTGATTAAACTGTAACGGATGAGGTCAACACAGAAGACACGAAGCAGGCTTTGTGAGTTGCAATTGTATTAAAAAAAAACATTCAGGTTAGCAGTAGTGTAAGTTAAAAAAAAAAACAACAACAACAACAACATGATGAGCAATAAAAGCCATGGTTTCTTTCTGGGCGTCAGCAAGGAAACAGAATTCTGTCCAGCAGTTCTTTGATGCAAATGAGCACATGATGTAAAAATGCATGCTCTGCATTGAGGAGATCTTTGCCATATTCTGGTCACATGACTTCTCCTCCTCCTCCTTACACTGGATATTCTCTCCACAGGCTGAAAGACAACAATTACAAGTTTGGGTGAAAAGGCATGAACGCAGGTAAAATAAAGCATCAGTGTAACAAACTCGAACAGGAAGTAGATTTTATATATATATACATATATATATATATATACATATATGTATATATATATATATATGTATATATATATAAAATCTACTTCCTGTTCGAGTTTGTTACACTGATGCTTTATTTTACCTGCGTTCATGCCTTTTCACCCAAACTTGTAATTGTTGTCTTTCAGCCTGTGGAGAGAATATCCAGTGTAAGGAGGAGGAGGAGAAGTCATGTGACCAGAATATGGCAAAGATCTCCTATATATGTATATATATATATATACATATATATATATGTATGTATATATGTATATATATATATAAAATCAATCAGCTTTAAAATGTATTTTTGTCATATCCAGAACCTCTTTTTTTTTTTGTAACTTTTACCTCATCTTGAACTCTGAGTCTGCTGACGTCTGCAGTAGCAGCAGCTCTTTGATGTCCTCAGGTGGATTCAGACCGTGGAGGTTTGCTCTTTCCCATCTCTGCAGCCGACTGATTCCTGGACAGGGCAACGTTATTTTTTTCATTAATGATATAATCTGTTTGCTTTTAGTTCAGAATATAAAGTCGGGATGTCCAGTAATATCGGTTGGCCAACTGATATTATCGGCTGGCCGATATTAGCTTAATTATGTAACATCGGTAACGAAAACCCAATAACGCAATGCCCGGGTTTCACCCAGATGATGTGACTTAAAATAGTATTGTGCACGGTATTGGTATTGTTGATATCGGAAATGGAAATTAAGTGTTTGGACAATATTGGCAAATCGGACGTCTGCAAAAAAAGTTGCAATATCGGTCATCCCTAATCTAAACAACTACTGCCACCTGAATGACGCACAATGGCTTCTCAAAATAACAAGGCTCTGTTTAGTGAATAGCTGAAGTTTATCAAATATCATCTGTAAAGTGAACTACAATTGGTCGAAGTCTTACCTGTGCACGGGCCGAATCGCCAGTCCAGATCAAACTGTCGGAGTTTCTGCAGCTGCTCTTCTCTGATGGCTTCAGCGTCATCTTCTACTCCAGTCACAGAAACCCCCCACAGTCAGAAATTAGTTCGTACGGACATTAGAATAATGCATTCATACATTGAGATAGTGCGTGAATATATACGTACCTTTCTGGGGAGGAGGAGGAGTCGGCCTCTTCGCCCGTTTCCCACCTTTCCTGGTTCTTTTCACCACTTTGAAGGAATCGGTGATCAATCCACGCTTGGTCGTCATGCTGACTAATCTGTAACACACACACATATGGAGTGATTAAGTTGGCTCCCAACACCACAGCTTCAAGTTTGGTAAAATTTTAAAAAGTTAAAGTTAATATTATTTAATTTTCATTTAAAATTAGTGAGAAGTGTGTCTTAAATTCAACAGCGTTGAGTACATACCAATAACACCGTAGTTAAGTCACTACGGTTTTATTAACACGTAACAACATCAGTGGCTGGTGGCCGAAATTCACATTCAAATTCGTCTTTAACTACAAAAAATGTATTCGCTTTGAAATAATAAACGGACACATTTATACACCAGCGTGCATTTTGCAGAATAATTACTAAAAATAAAATAAACAAACCTGTTTTATCAAAATGAAGACAAAACAGCCCCCTGTTTTTCCTTCATACAGCTGATAGAAACAACAGCGACGAAGTTCGTTTCGCCTTAGATGATTAAAGCTATAGCCACATTTTTACTTCCGTTCTCTTTATTTCTCTCCCATTAATTCTACCTTTCCTTTCGCTTCGTCTTGGCGCTCTTCTACCCATGCGTTCTTTTTATTTTCAAATGTGTATGTTATGTTTTCTATTCTTTCTGTGCTTTCTTCCTCCCACCTTTCCTCAATGAAATGTGTAAATGTAAAAGTGTCGTCCAGACTGAATACATGTATATCTCAATGACGTCATGTCAATGTCAATAGAATCTATAATAAGTCGCTATTTCCTAGATAACTCGTGTGTACTAACGATGGCACCAACAAAAAACTAACTTCAGAGCTAGAGACCGCCCCCATCTTCTTCTCTCTCTGTATCACTAGAGAGCAGGGTTCTCTACTGCCACCTGTTGTTAAATATTCGCATGAATTTTCGAAAGACGTGTCATAAACACAGCAAGAAAACAATAAAGACGACCCATAGCTCAGAGACGCGTACAAAATGGCCTAAAATGCTAACGACGAATAAAAGTCTTCATATTTACCTTTAAAGTTGTAGCTTTTTATAAGGTATACAATACTATTTAAATAGAATGGTTTAAAGTTGTAGCTTTTTATAAGGTATAACATACAATAATATTTAAATAGAATGGTTGAATTCAAATGTGAAAAAAAATAAAGTTAAAACCTGTTTTAAAGTCATTACTTCGATGGAAGAAGTTGTATAAAAACATAAAATATAGGAATAAACTGTCGGAATTTTTTTAATAAATTTATCTTTAATTCTGTAGGAGACCAAAATAGCACAAATCATTGTTATTTTTGTGTTTTTCATAATAAATAAGAATATAATAATATAAACAATGCCTCTAAAAACAGCACCGATACAAATAGTTTCTTGCTTTCTTCCTATTCATGTTCTCTTTTGGTTATCTTTAACACCGTTTCACCACTTCCTGCTTCTGCTCCAATCACAGTCCATTATGACTGAGTGCAGTGTAATGGTGTTCAGCTGATATAGCCTGATGCTGCTGCACTGATTGGATTATGGTGAAACATTAAACCCCGCATATGGTTTGTGGCTGAAAGAGTTTGGATGTAAAACGTGGTCCATGAGTTTTTTTTTTTTTCTTTAGTGGCTTTGTGTACAAAATGTGGTCGATTTCGTTCCCTTTGGTCGACCGCTGACTGCTCGCAGGAACATTAACTGTTTATGACTTATTTAGTACGTAAATCCAGGAAACGCTTCATACAATCTAAACAGTAATAAATATTTTCCAATATTCAAAATTAACTTAATTAGACCTTAAATAATGGGTTTCTGTAACATACTGCTGACATTCTGGTTGGTAAATGACAGTTGTTAAATTGTTATCCTCCCTAAAAGTATATTTCAATTATTATGAGTTTAATAATAATGTTATAATGAGTTGATTGTTTTTAGATATATTTGGTGTTTTTAATGTGGTAAACTGTATTTTCTATCTACCAAATAAGATTTTATTCCCAACTCTTACGGTAGATGTTTTGGCTTTTTAAAGCTTTTTTAGGCTAGGTTTTAGCTTTTTTACGTTTGGACTGATTGAGGAGACTTTGGTGTTGCTGCTTGCTAACATTATTTTGAGGTAATTCTTGGCTATTTTATTTACTATATTATTACTTTACTTTTGACTTAGAACCATTGAAAGAGCTACTACTTAGCTTTTTG